TTGTTGTTTTTTAATCTTGTTAAGCATTTGTGGCTTTCGTGACACATGAAACCTTGGGCTTAAGTGATTGTGGAGGTGTTTTCAGGTCTAGTACAATAACAGCGCTTGATTCCTTATTGGGCTGAAAGGAAAGATTTTCATGTTCCTGCATGCACTAATAAAACATGTCAGTTACAATCAACAGTGTAGTTAAAACACCTGGTGAAAGATATTAAAGTAGCAGTACATGTAACAAAGGAGGGTTTAGTGAACTAGTAAATCTGTGTTCTACAGCTTGTACTTCCAGGGTATTTGTGACACCTAAAGGATCTACTGCTAGAAGGCTGAGGGGTATCGTGTGATTTATGTTGCAAGACACTACAGTGTAAATGGGATCAGCTATTGTTAATTTTCTTTTTTTTTTCTTCCTACCCTCAGCAACTGCATACGGTCTCGGGACCTACTTTGCTGTAGATGCCAACTACTCGGCCCAACCCACCTACTCCAAGCCAGCTGCTGATGGTTCTCAGTTAATGTTCGTCGCCCGAGTCCTCACAGGCGTCTGCACTCATGGCGGACATGATATGATGGTGCCTCCACCTCGAAACCCCCAGCAGCCTCACGACCGCTATGACAGTGTGGTAGACAGAATAGATAACCCCAGCATGTATGTTGTGTTTCATGACAACCAAGCGTACCCTGACTACCTCATCACATTCAAGTGAGAGTAAAGGAAAAGAGTTTTCCACTGTTTACAGACGAAGGTGTCTGAAAAATCCAAAAAGAAAAATAATAAAACTAATATGCACATTTCACACTACAGTTATATTCAGTGAAATTTCGAGTTTGAATTATAGAATTATGTCTGATTTTAAGCTTAATTATTGACCTGTGACTGAATTAGAAAAGTTACATATGTGTACATAAACACTGGAAACATGTTACACAACCATGCAGTTTTTAATCTTTGATTTGGTTGACATTTGCATCTTACATCTTCACTTTGTAAAGTGTAAAGCACTTTGAATCACATCTAATTAGTCCAAGAACATGTCACAATACTCTAATAAAGATTTACTGTATGATTGCCTGGTCCATTCGTAAACTGTGAAATTTCATTTGAATTGTGGTGACATTATGCAAACAACATCTAAAAAATATTTTAATTCATAATCAAGTAACTGTTAAACATAGTAAATCATCTGGTAGAAGAGTTTAAAAAGTTAACTGTGTTAAAATGAGAGTTAAAAACATGAGTGAAGAGAGAAAAGCTCCAGTGGGATGATAATCATTCTTGTCTGTGGCATTTTTGTCCACAGCTAAATGTGTTTTACAGGAAAAGGGCTCTATATGTTTCCTTCGGAGTTCATTTACTATAAAACTGAATCTATTATATGTATTATATTATATAAAATATAAGCCATTTAGCAGCTAGCTATTAATTTGACTACTATCTGTGCAGCATTTGAAAGCAATGCTGAAGCCATGTAGCTGAAAAACTGTAGTTGCATAACAATGATATAGGCCTATATGTGGTAAAAGAATAACTGAGGCTAAATAATACTGGGCGTTTGTGAACGTAGCAATTCTCAGGGGCTGATGGTGACAGACGCCTGGCCTTGGACCTGCCGGAGAGCAGGACAGTCCAGAGTGGCGATCACCCTGCTTGTCCCGGCCCTCTGCGGAGTAAAATACTCAGTCCAGGTCAGAGAAGAGCCTCCCATGACCAACCTGAGAAAAGACAAACACGTCAAAAATATTAAAGCAAGAAGCAGAAACCTTTGAAATAGGTGTGTGTTTTTTTTTCTTTTGCTACTATTTGGAGGTTATAAAATCTCATCCAAAGGGGTGAGATGAAACTGAAACCTGTTTTGGTTTTATGTGGAAATATTTTATACAAACAGTTGTTCATCATCACTCACCTGTAATACCTGGACTTTGGCTCCATCATCCCAGGTCCTTCCATGCGAATGTAGACGTTCTCCAGGTT